GTTCATCACTGCTTTTTAGTGATGCGTAGTACCTTGGAGTTCTTTTAACGTTGTTTCAAATGAACATCTTTCTTCCACCATCATGTTTAAAGTGCCTATTTCGGCTGCTTTCCACCACTTCTACCTTAGCCCCATCACCGCAGGAAGTTATTAAGAACTCTGGGCTGGCAAGCCTGGAAGGATTACTGGTAGCAGCGTGGGTTCCAAGTCATTGGTCAGTAGCTCAAGCCCACAAAGCACTGCAAGGGAGAAAGATAGAAAGGCAAGACTCTTGCTCCTGTAAAGATCAACAGTCCCAGAAACGCAAAAGAGCAGCTCCACTCTGTTTTCTGGGGACACTGTGAGTTTGAATGGACTCAGCGGCAGAGAGTTTGGTTTTTAAGTCTCTTGGTTTGTTTGTTGGGGTGGGGGAGGGGGGTGGCAAGCCTGAAGCTTCTCCAAAGCAGTACATACACACCCTGTTCCACAATCAGGTTGCTTAGGCAGTTTCTGAGTCCTGTGTGCTGCTGTAACAGGAATGGCACCAGTAAGTGAGTGGCTTTGCAGTGCAGACAGCCACTTTCTCACTGTTTGAGAAGTCTGAATGCAGGCCACCAGCTCCCGAGGCAGGTCGCTTTACCGTCAGCTCCCAAGAAGATCCCTGTGCCATCTGGCATTCCTCTGCCCATGGCCCTCTCCACGATCCACATGTGGCATCTGTCTTTCCTTGGTTGTGGGTGTTTGGCTGTCGATCTCTGCTGCTCCGGATAACGCAGATGTGAGTCTGTTTAGGACACACTTGGAGAGGGCCTCATTAAGATAATGCAGAAAGCCTTCTTTCCAGATAGTATTAACATCTGCAGACACAAGAATTAGGATTCCAACATATATATTTTTTTGCAGCCAGGGACTGGGGGAGGAATTATGGAGTTGGGGGACGGTGAGGAATGAGGAGGGATCATTCGATCTATAACCAAACCCCACCATGCCATCCCGTCAGCTCTAACTCGGAATGGCCCCACAAGGCAGAGCACGACTGCCCTCTGGGATCTGAGAGGCTGGCAGCCTTGACTGAGAGCAGCTAGCCTTATCTTTTTCTCGGGGAACAACTTGTGGCTTTGGATTGCTGGCCTGGCATTTACCACCCTAACTCCTAACCAACCATGCCACCAGAGCCTTTCTGATCCGTAACCAAAAGCAAAAGAAGCCAAACTCACTGCCTTCAAGCCATCCTGTCTCATAGCGCCCCTAGAGGACAGGCCAGAACGACCCCTTTGTGTGTGCAAAGCTGTCACTCTTTATGGAAGTTGAAAACCTCACCTTTCTCCCTCAGAGCATCTGGTGGTTTCAAACTGCTGACCTTGCAATTAGGAGCTCAGTGAGTAAGCCACCAGGGCTCCTGGCTTCATTCCATAACTGCCAAGTGTTATTATTACCATGATCCCATGGTATAGCCCTGCAAAATACGGCCCAGAAAGGAGAGAGGCTCATAAAAGGCCAGACAGGTAAGAAGCACCAGAGCCATGTTTAAAAACCCCAGCTTCCTAGAACCTCATCAAGCCGCCTCTTCCATTCCATTTTCTGGCCCTGTCGCTTCTCTTATCTTTGACGAATTAATCATTTTTAGCACCTTCTCACTTCATCATCTCCACATCTCATTTCAATTGTGGCACCACAAGCTGACAGCTACCGGTTTATCTCAGAGGAGTATTTACGGCTGGGTTTTTATAGCTCTGTTTGTTTGTATCCACGGGTACGCTGAGTGCCCAGCCCCTCTAGATTGAATTCACAGGCACTGCACGTGGAGCTCGGATTCTGCGAGACTGCCAAGTTTAATCCGATTAGTGCTGCAGACGGCAGGTGTGTGGGAGGTAAAAACTCTGTTATTTAAAACAAAACAAAAAAACACCTTTGGGCCAGTGTCCTTGCTCTTGAGTGATTTTCAAGCAATCTGACAAAATCCAGCCCAGGGCTTTTTAGGAAGGCAACCAGGTCAGTTTTGAGTTCCTTTAAGTATACAGCATTGAGCTTGGACAAGCAATAAACATTAGTGGAGCACCCCTGTGTTAGTCTGGGTAGACTACAGAAACCAATTCATAGACACACATATATGTGTCTTAGGAAGAGGTTTATATAGAAGAGCAATTGTACATTAAGAAAACATCCCAACCCAGTGCAGCCCAAGGCCATAAATCTGATATTAGCCCATATGTCCAATACCAATCTATAAATCCCTCTTCAGACTCATGAAACACATGCAATGAAGCCAAATGCAGGATGTTCACAAGCCAGCGGGTAGAAAATCGTTGGGTCCAGTGGCGTTGTGAGCATCTCAGCACTGGCAGGGGTCTCTCTGTGGCTTCTCCGGCTTCAGAGGTCTGGTTGCATCCATGTGGCTTGCCTTCTGCAGTGTCTCCCAGGGAGTAGCAGAGAGAGTGGTGGGGAGTGTCTTTCGCCTTCAAGGAGGAAATACCAGATTTCCCAGAATTCTCAGGAGAAGGCTATGCCCACACGAATGTCTCATTGGCTATCTCCAGAATGACAGCCTAGACTCCACCCCTACTCTCTTAATCCTTAAATTGACACCAGATTAGGTGACTACCATAACCAGGAACTGAATCAAAAGGCAAAAAGAATGGCTAAGAGCCTAGCTGGCTGCTCAGATTCACATTTTGGGGAGGGGGTGGGCAGTGATAATCAGCCCACGGGGACTGTGAGCTGGACACTGTTCCGGAGACTTCGTGTAGCTATTCATCAAAGAGTCCTCACAATAGCCCTATGTGTTGAGCAGCCTCATCTGGCCCACTTTTACAGATTAAGAAGCAGAGGCATAAAAACTTTTGCCTTTCGAGTTGATTCCACCTCATAGCGACCCTATAGGACAGAGGAGAATTGCCCCTGTGGGTTTCAGAGGCTGTAAATCTACAGGAGCAGAAAGCCTCATCTTTGTCCTGAGGAGTGGCTGGTGGGTGCTCGAACCGCTGGCCTTGTGGTTAGCAACCCAACGAGTAACCCACTGCGTGCCACCAGAGTTAAACAAACTGCCCACTGTCACTTGGCCAGTATTTACAGAGCCAGCACTTAAATTGAGGCTTCCAGCCCCGGAGCTCCGCACTGCCTCTCTGAAGGCGCTGATCTCACAGTATCTCCGTGGTGTGCACCAGGTGACCGGGCATGGGGAGATGGAGTCCAAGAAAGAGAAGATGGGGGCGGGGGGTGGGGGGGCACAGGAATTTTACCCCTTTGTCTATAGGATCCTGTTAGAAACTGAGGACCTTCCATTTTCTCCTATCTTTGTGACCCTCCGTAGAATCTTTCCTTCGTGTGGGAAAGGCATGGAGGGAAGAGTGAGAGTGAGATGGGGATGACGGGCCCAGAGCAGGTAGAGGATTCTTCCCACTTTGAGCCTTGAGAGGTTCTGAGAGAGGGCGGCCACCTCCAGGCACACTTGGGGTTGTGTTATGCCTGGAACACTCCTGAGAATACAGGAGGAAGGAAAAGAGCTGTTCACCCTGTCTTTCAGCTGGAAATTGATGGAGAAAAGTATCCACACAAAGTTGCATGCAAAGTACTCCCCCGGGTCTGAGTATCACTGAAGGGGAACTATCAACTGTCTGCCCTTTTGCCTTTGAGGCAACCCCTACTGGTGGTGACTGGGTCAGGGGAGAACGGAGCCCTGAGAATGTTTAGTGGCTGTGTTTCTGGAAGTAGAGCTCCATCCAGGCCTTCTTTCAATAGGCACCTCTGGGAGGCCTCAACCTCCAACCACGGGGTGAAACAGCTGGTCATGTTAACCGTCTGCACAACCCAGGGACACCTGAAAAGCAAACATTGCTATGGAAGGTTTTCCTGATTGAGGGGAAAAAAATATACCCAAGGTCCATGTATTTTTAGTTCACGGACTTAGAAGACGCTCCAGTGTTTTTTGCTTCCAAGGAATTTGTTCTTCTATGGCGTTACAATGGCGTTTCCCATGGTGAACGGCTTTTAAACCAGGAGTCTGCAGTCTCTCTTCGGGCGCTGGCTTTCCTTGCTAGCTGTGTGATTTGGGCTCCCGTGGGTCTCGTTTTTGCTGTGTAAAATGATGTTTGTTTAGTCTGAAGCCTGGTCCATCTGTCTTGCAGAGGTGCTCAGTGAGCTGGGGCGCCTTTTGTTGTTGTTTTTTCACTGATAGAGATACTTGCAGTCACATAATCGCTGAAAGTCTAGTGTACGTTTTGCTCCTTCTAGTGTCTTGATATGAACAACTTAAAACCTGGTCCCTTGGCAGCACCATGTTTTAAGGAGCTGAAGTCAGAGGGACAGAGGGGGCGGGGAAGAAGCAGGAAGCAAACTCTGGCTTAGAATCTACTGTAGGCACTGTTCTTTCCCTTGACTTGGCTTCACTGCCCTCACTGGCCAGTGACGTTGGCCCATGCTACCCCAGCACCGTGAGAACCAGAGGTCAGCTTGAACGGAAAGCAGGGACAGCCCAGAGCTAGCAGCTTTGTGCTGAGAGACCCCTCAGGGAGGTGAGAGAGGCAAGAAGGAAACCATGAATCAAGTTGTGCGCCCTCATCCCACTGGGCTACGTGCCTAGCCCCTCCATCGTTACCTGCGGCAAGAGTTCTCTCCAGCCCTCACGGTGGGGGGGGGGGGGGGGGCAGGGATTATACAAGCATAATGAGGCCTCTGTTGCTCTTCTTCCGGACCGCCAACTTCCTTCTAGAACTCCCCTGCTTCGTTCCGAAAGACCCAGTCATCTATTGGTGTATGGGTAGGCGTGTGAGCCAGGAGTGCCGTCTTAGAGACAAACTGCTGAGGCAGTTTGGTGACATGGAAAGCATACTGGTGACGCAGTTCTTTACTGGGGGACATCACCCGTCTCTCCACGGGACCTTGGGTTTCTCGCCGGTGACATGGGGCTATCACGAGTGCCTGGAGTGCGTGGGGAGAGGATGTGGCTCTGTGGTGTCTCCGTCCTCTGTCTCGGGTAACGCTGACATGCTGTACCCTTTGGTCTTGCCTTTCATGTACCACAGGATCGATAAACAAATAAGCAGGTTTCGGAGATGGTTACCTAAGAAGCCAATGAGGCTGGACAAGGAGACACTGCCAGACCTGGAGGAGAATGACTGCTACACTGCCCCTTTCAGCCAGCAAAGGATCCACCAGTGAGTGTTTCTTGTGGTAGCCCTGCCTGACCCAGGACGTGCCGCAGCGGCGGAGCCTGCCCCTGCAGGCTTCTGATACCTTGGCACGTGGGTAGAACAGTCTAGTGCCCTTCTCTCCAGAAAGCCCTGTGGAAGTCCACATGCTTTTTGCAGTAGAGCGAGCTGGCCACCCTAACAAACAGCCCCACCTATTGCAGCAACTTAAGAGTAGAAGTCTAGGCTCAGAACACCATGGAAGGACCCTTTGGTGGATACACAAGTAAGCTTCTCTGTCTTGTGGCTCTGCATATAGCCAGAGGACAGGGCTAGTGGGCCATAGCTTTCCATGTTGAAAAGAGAGGTCATTGTTGTTTTGTTTTTGTTTTGTTATTTGTGGCAGATCAACCTTCAGCTCACACTTTCTTCAATAGATCACTCAGTTACCCTAGGAAAAGCCATATCACCTGACAGCCCACTTGCTGGCTTATCTGTCGATCTCTAAGCAACTTGTGACTTTTGATTTGTGGGGGGAGCTATTGGCAAGTAATTGTGAGGAGTTAACAAATGTGGTTGTGTTAGACAGGGTTCTCTAGAGAGATAAAACCAAATTCCTGATAATATAATATATTTATTTATAAAGATAATTAGATATTTAACGAGAAATGAACTGTTAAATCATATACAGATAATTATACAATGCAAGAAATAAACAGTTAAATTAGAAAGCAATATAAATGGCTTAGTGCAACTCCCGTCCGTGAGAGAAAGTTGAGAGACTAGCAGTCCTTCAAGTCTCTATCTGATGCCAGATCTTCGTCTTTTTGTAAAGAGAGCTAGGCTATGTCAGCACAGCAGCCAATCACAAGGCAGGTCACCAATCGCCAGTCCCCAGCTCCAGAGAAGTCTTAAAAGGACCTCAACTTGCAGTGACACAGTCCACAGGCTAGGCGTCCCACAGACAGTGTAGCCTTTAAATTGAGGCACAGAACAAGCAAGGCAGCCGCACACTGGTCCGATGATCACAGAGCGAGAGACAAGAAAGGCAAGGCTCACCAAGCCATCCATCTCTCCGCCCCTCAGTCAATTCCACCTGCGTTTATCAGCCAGGCTGGCACAATAAACTGTCTCAGTGGTCAAGACTGTAAAGAATCCTGGCTGGAAGGCATGTGAGTAGCAGGTGAGAAAAGCCTGTCACAAGGGAGAAACCCACTAGGGAACCACCACCCCCCCTCCAAGGGAGCGAAAGCCTGACTTCCCAACCCTGATCTCTGGAGGTCTGTAGGATCCCAGGCCCTCCCTACTCCACCGTGCTCCAACTTCAGGAAAAAAGACTTAGCTGAGAGAAGTTAAGGGATGGTGGACCGATTTTAAAAAGGTAGGAGACTGATTTCGAGAAAACAACCCAAAGGGAAATTGTCAACAGGTTGCTGAGAATGCAAACTAGGGGCATGTTACAGCCCCAGAAAATCAATGAAAGTCTCTAGAGAAGAAAAACCCACCAATAGCTGCTCCACATCAGCATGTATAATGCTCCATCGGACCAGGACCAAGCAGTGAGCCTCTGACATAGCCACTCCTTGGTCACCAGGGAGCAGGTTGATGTCAGCCCAGCCCTGGCATCTGAACAGTAAAAGGATCACTGAAGTAGCAGACATGACCTTCACCACTCAGCCTAGACAGCCGAGTGAAAGTCTCCTGGGGCAGTATGAACATAATGTTAACTCATCAATGAGTCCTTCAGGAGGGTTTTCTTAAGAGAAAGAGACAGATGAAAGCTAGCCAGTTTCCTCTCTGACTTTAAACTTTCTCCAGGTTCGCATTGGGTTTTTTTGCGGTTTTTTCAACAAGTATTTCTATGAGGGATTTTTTGGAGGGAGAGGGGGGTGTTTTAGTGAAGAGGCTTGATTGTTGGAGCAATTTTAGGTTTCTAGGGGATTCAGCAGAAAATATAGAGTTCCTCTCTCCCCTCCTCCTGTTTTCCCATAGTAGTCATATCTTGCATTGGTCTGGACTATTTGTTAGAATTAATGGACCGAGATTGGCAAATTGTCACTATGAAGGCCATCCGTAGTTGACATGACGGCCCACTCCTTATATTATCTGGTGCTCTGGGCTGTGATAACTGCAAAATGGCACATATCGACCGTCACAGTATTATATAGACTATTATTTTTCCTAACAATGGTTTCATTTTTTCCCCAATTTATTATTATTAAGAGTTAATACACATATTATATTACATAGTTGAGTCACATCAAGCAGTATTGTACGATCACTACCCCAATCAGTTTCAAACATTCTTTTCCTTCCTGGACTCCTTGACATTATCTCCCTTTTACACCACCACTCCTACCACTAATGTACACAGCCCGCCCCAAAAAAATCCTTATTCTACTTGCTGTCCCTGTAGGTTTGTCAATCATGGATTTCATATACCAAAAAACAGAAAAACATGTAGCACAGCTTCAAGAGGGTGACCCCCCACCACCACCACCACCAATGGCATAACAACTCTAAGATAAATCGTAATGTGAACAAACAGAAATACAAAAAAATGTTGAAAACAGATCAGATCCAGCATGTATCAGAGTGGGGATCAAGTGACAAAGGTTTAACTATTTAAGTCAAGTTTATCCCTTTGATCTTCTGTACTCATCTTTCTAACACATTCTGTTTAGAAACCACTTTCCTCCCATCCCTCAGTTCTGGATAGAGGGAGATCACTGGAGGCTTATTTCCTATGTAGTTCCCATAAATTTATCTTGTTTGGAGTCCCATTGTCATCTATAGCCTTCTGCAAACCAGATTCTCACAATTACCCTCTGATCCTAATCCCTTCTTTGACTTCATAGTATATGATTTACCATCCTTCGGTCACTGACGGTGATGTGCTTCTTCCGTGTGGACGTAGTTGACATTTCACTGAGGTGGCTGTTTGTTTGAAGACAAGTGTTTAAGACCCCAGACACTATTTTACCTGATAGCCGGGCACCATCTAATCTCTTCGCTGCATTTTGTTACAGCACCTCTGTCTTCTCTGTTCCCTTCCTAACAGCAAGTATCGAGCAGGGCATGTAGGACACTTTCATTGCCCTAAAATCCTCCATGCTATTCATCTGGAATCTGATTTACATGTGGTTTTTACCTTTGCTTCTTACCTGTTTGAGGAATGCCTAGCATGGTATAAGAGTTTACATCTTGGATGGATGGATGGATGGATGGATGGATGGATGGATGGATGGATGATGAATGGGTGAATTATATAGTGTATGCTCTCAGGTTTGTTCTACTTCAATGGCATAAGGTTTAATAGAATATGACAAGGAGGTGGATAGATGAGTCAATGAATCATGTGAGACGCAGTCAGGAGATTTATTTACTTCAAAGGGATGTGGGTTAACGGAAGAGGAAGCTGTCCAACCACTCCTTCATTCTGATTATGTTTTCTGATGTTCTTGCTGTAGAAGGAAGACTTTAAATATGGTTTTTAAAGTCAGAAACACACCAGGCATCCATCAGAGTCCCTGGTGAACAACAGAGAATGATATTTTTTAACATTTTTAAAATTTTAAAAATGAGGAGTGATGTCATGTGAGATAAGGGCATTCATCTCTCACACACATATTTGAGGAGACTTTTGGGTGCTGATTCACTGAATAAATGATTTATTCATTAGTCCACTTCTTGCCAGATACTGTCTGAGTATACACAGTTATATCTACAGAGAATACGCAGTTCTTGCTTGAAGCCTGGTGAAGACAGCATTGTTCATCATTATGAGCAGTATGCTGGGTGTGACTTAAAGAGAGTGGGAATACTCGATTCTTTAGACTGGGGCAGTGGATATAACTGATGAGGATTCATCACAGAGAAGAAAATGCTTGAGTTAAGTCTTAAAATATCAAACTCACCCATGTAGGTAAGAGGAGAAAAATATTCCAAGAAGAGAGAGGAATCTTATATAAAAGAAAAAAGGTAAGAAACAGGAGGGGATGCTTGAGGAACCACAGTGTTTTTCTGTGATGGATGTAGGGTGTGAGGAGGACCTGGCACTGTCATTTGAAAATAGCTGAGGGATAGAGGGTCAGTGCAATAGGAGGTTTCAGGGCAGGAGGAGCAAGGAGAGAAGGCAGAAGGACAAGTGGAGCCAAACAGGGAAGGAGCAGACCTCAGTGGGACCAAAAGAATTACTCCGGCAAGTTTATCACGTTAAGTGGGAGGTGAAAAATAAGTGTGTCAATTGTTATGGGAGTGGGAGGTTCTTCCTCTTTGAAATTTGCCATGCCACATGGGCAGCATCCCACTGATGAGTGTGTAAAAGTAAGACTCAAATAATGCTGACTGTCAAGTCAGAAATACTTGTTCAGTACAATCAGAAGGGTGGGGGGAAGCCCCCAAGGATGCTTTGTGGGGGTTTTACTAGGTTGAAACTAATTAGAGGTAGTTGGCTAATGAGCTCTGGGAGTTATAAAGTGATATCCAGGCTTTCCAAATGCAGCCCAGAATCCCACGTGACTTCTTGGTTTTGTATAATGTGTGATGCAGGGGCGGGTGGGGGT